AAGTGACAAGGGCAGATTGGAGCTGTCTTGAACGTTCTAATAGTTCCACTGCATTCTTGGGTCCTAAAAATAGCTGGTCTAGACACTCAAAGACAAACTTGTCAGTTTCCACAAATAACATCATCTAAATATGAAATAATATACAGAAAATGTTGTGGGATTTGCATTTCAGTTATTTGCTTTGTATAAGACGCTTTTAATCAAACACTGATGTCGCTAGCATCATTTTCTACCAGCTGACCACAGGAACAGGAACAACTGAACCGCTGATGAACACTTATGTTGATAATGTTCTAGGATCATTTCTGGGCAGAAAATGCAAAATTTTCAGAAAAATTATGCTGAAGATGATTCATCTGCATCTATTATCTCTAAAGTGTGCTATCTGCAGTTACAGTGATTTTCTAGGAATTAACAAAAGAAAAACTCAAAGGAATAAATTACTGCAAAGGCGTATAAATCTGGCAAACCCTAAATGTTCATTGTTTGGTGAGTATTCATTAAGATAATACGTCATTTAAATCCCACTCGCTGAAATAGTCTCAGGTATTTTAAAGAGCTAATCTGAACAGCGTTCATCATTTTGAGTTGGTAGGTTCTGGTTTATCTTTTCTTATCTTATTTGTTTTGCAGCCCCATAAAAAAAGTTTAGTGCATCTTTATCTCTTCTCAGAAGTAGAAAAATATAAAGTAATCTGTTAACGTAATATAGGACCAATCCCGTGGGATTCTATCAGTGCAGTGCAGCTCTATTAATCAAACTGATTGCACATGATACATCTCTGTTCTCTCTCATGTTTTTAATGATACTGGGGATTTCTTGGGCCCTTGATTGATTGCATTCATTGTTGTGATGCATTCTTATCAATGACTCTGATTTTGGTTAACACAACTCGGTAATATTTACTTGACAATCAAGCTGATGATGCCAAGAAGGAAATACAGCTGTACAAGGACCTTTGGGAGGCTTTCTGAAATTGCACAGTTCTGTCATTCTTAAGAGTTGAAATCAATGAAAAGGCTGATTGAGTCCTCAGACACAATGTAATATCATTATGAAAATGACAAATCTAACAAAGCACGCTGCCATCATCAACAAGGGAATGTGTTATGTTGTGATACTTTCCATGAATGTGTTACATTTTGGTGTCTCATTACTTTTTTAAAGCACTAGAGGCACAAATCCCAAATGCCTTTCATCTTGAGACTATTAGATATTGGTGATAAACTACTATCTAGAAAATTTAAATTAACCTAGCATGAAAAGCAACTAGTCTTAAACACATTAAATGTCCCCCATTAAAACTGGTAATTTGGGCCTGTGCCTGGATCAAACAAACTAAATCATACAATGTCATTTTACCATAATCTTCATATTCAATTATTTATTTTAATTACCAAAAACTTCATTACCACGTTATTACCAGAAACTGCATTACCAGGTAATTTGGAAAAATAATTATTTAACTATTATTTAATTATTTTTACATGCAGGGCTCGACAATAAGGACTGCCCGATGGCCCGGGGCCAGCGTAAAAGACGCTCAGGATAGTAGAGGATTTGTTACTGGCCCGATAGGATCACTGCTGTGTTCTCACGAAAGCTTATCATTTGCACGTGTTTTTAAAGCTTTGCCAATTTAAACATTCAATCGATTTAAAAGCATTAGAAGACGTTAAAAGCACACAAAGAACGAAAGAGAACTCCATTCAGCACTTGCCCCGAACAGAGTTTCTCTTTCGCCTCTTCTTGCACTTTAACAGACAAATTCACCTTGCCAATTTGAACATTTAAGCGATTTTAACGCATTAAAGCACAAGACGACACAAATAACAACTGCGCACACACATAGAGCCGTGTCTCAAGCAACACACAAGCCCCATACTTGTGTTCTTTCTGCTTCTTCTTGCGCTTGAACAGACAGTACAATATATTAGACCCATTGTAACAAAGATCATAGTTCGGGAAGGAGGCGGGAACCGGCGGACATTTAAACAAACTTTAATAAAATAAACAAACACAAAAAAGCGCGACAGCCCCTCGCGGACGATTGTCACGCACAAACAAAACCAAAACACAAAATAAACTCCAGGCCTGGTCCTCTCTCGTCTGACACTGTCGTCACTCCTCCCTTTTATCCTTTCGGAGCTCCTCCGTGAGACTCGAGACCGGTGAGTGGTGCAGGTGTCACTCATTATCAATTACTCCACCAGCTTCGCTCCGTTCCCACGGCTCTCGGCCCCGCCTCACTCATCACACCCATAAATTGTGTTTAAAGTGACCGTGCCTATTTTACCAGCTCCTGTCGGTGTCCTTAATGTTAATTAAGCTTAACATTAAATTTATACAGTGAAGAATATGCAATGTTATTTTACATTTAAGTATTCAATTTTTACTTGAACACCTACAAATCTAAAAATCTAAAGCATCTTTAATTTGTATCATTGTTCTATTTATTTATTTGTGCTACTGCTTGTAATTTGTCCATTTGTTCTTATTTGCTGACTGTTCACTTGTCTTTAATAATGTTTGAACTTTATATCTTTGGCTAGTTTTTGCTGTGGTATTGAAATTGGAATGGAGAATTGTAAAATTTAACTGGTATCTAAAATTTTGGTGTCACATAAGCTTATTTATTAGAATAACCCTACTGTGATAAATTAATATAGACCTGCAACCCCATTAAGCCATTCTGTAATATTTTTTAACTTTTTTTTTATTTTATAAATTGTGAATTTATTTTTCATATCTATCTACAGTGGGGAATAAAAGTATTTAGTCAGCCACCAATTGTGCAAGTTCTCCCACTTAAAAAGATGAGAGAGGCCTGTAATTTTCATCATAGGTATACCTCAACTATGAGAGACAAAATGAGAAAAAAAAATTCTGTAATATTTTTTAACTTATTTTTTATTTTATAAATTGTGAATTTATTTTTCATATCTATCTATCTATCTATCTATCTATCTATCTGTATTTATTTGTAACAATTTGACATCTTGAATTTGACAAACATTTTCTGAAAGTTAAAGGGTTAGTTCACCCAAAAAAAAAAAAAAAAAATTGTGTGACATCAGTGGTAGAGCGTGGTAGTTACCTTGCTGTCTATGGGAGGGTCAGAGGGCCCTCAGATTCCATCAAAAATATCTTAAATTGTGTTTACGGGTTTCGAACAACACAAGGGTGAGTAATTAATGAGAAATTCATTTTTGGGTGAACTAACCCTTTAAACACCTCCTTTCACTGACAATTCATAATTTTTCTAGCACTGATTCATAGAAGGTGCCAAGTGATGACATTAATTATCAGATCACTGAAGAAAACACTTTAAAAATGTTTAATCAAGATGGATATTCTGATGAGGGGTTCTTTTTGAAATATTTCCTTTGTTTTTCACTGCATTGCGTGGGACTTAGACTTCTGTAATATACACATTTTATCTTCCATGCATCATGCCCCGAGTCCGTAACACAATAATCAGCAACTAGTGCAGATACAAAGCAACAATTCTGCCCATGGCAGACTCACCCTAGAGCTGATCCCTAGAATATCTCACAAAATGCTTTCTGCTCTCTCAGCAGGAGTTTCTTCTCTGGCCCCATTTCCTCAGCATGGTGACACGCTGCAGGCATGAGCGAACACAACTCATCCTGTAACACACTTATCAGATCTCCTCCTCCATGCCACCCAGCTGAGAGCTACAATGATACATCATTTGGGCCAGAAGACCTTGTTAGCATCACGAGATGGTCATCTCAGCGAGAGGCTGTTTTTACCATCACCATAATCTGAGGTTTTCTATATACCCGCCCAAGGACAAACACATGACTGATTAAACTCACTTTATAAGATCTGGCTTAAGCAACTGTGGAGCCCACAGCTGGGAGGGCCAATTTTCTGGTCCCTTTACCTGTAGACAGAGTGCTGGTTTGTTCTGATTTGGCTGTTTTGGACTTGCCAGACAAGACTGGGTTTCAATTCACAAGCGGCTCACTGATAGAAAAGCAATCTCAACGTTTTCGAGTCCTTACATTGTATTTTGCTTCATCACCATGAAATAGTTTTATTTTAAAACTGCCATTCATTGTGAGACTATGCAAAGGAGCTTTCGCTATCCGTCAGGCACATTTATCTATGGACTATTTCCTGTAAAAAACATACTCATCGTCAGACATGTTCTGACTCCGAGCGCTGTGAATTTCTCACCTTGCTGGTGACTGTCTTAAAGATTGATTTTTCAGAACTTGTTCAGGGAATGTTGTTTAGTATAGCCCCAGCTAACAAAAATATGTTCTAAGAATGTTTTGCTAATGTTCCCAATAAGTTATGAAAATGCTATTTCTGAACATTCAAAATGACTAGTTTCTTGTAAACATACTCCAGTAATCTTTGTTTTATTTCCAACTTTGAATTTTTTTTACAGTGTATAAAAGTCCGCCCTATGAGCAATAAAACATTTTCTTTTCCTTGGATCAGTCTCTTAAGATGTTTGGTTTAACCTCTCTAATTCCCATAGTTTACCTTTAAATTCATCATTTAAAGTTTTTATTGCTTGATCAATATTCATTTTAACTTCTAGACTGCAAATGAGATATTGAAAACGGCACAGATTGAAGTTTAATCCATTGCAATGCCAATGGTCATGCTTTTTGCACACTGCTCTCAAAGCATCATTATTGTCTTGGAGCATCACTTCATCAGAGGATGAATGGACGGAGGACACACTGTGAATGAGTGTGCAAGTATTCTGGGAAAATGTTTGCTTGTATTTTTAGTTTTCTAGTTTGTTCTCAGAGACTGCAATCCTTGACGTAGAGATAAGTCATGACATCCACCCATCCCAATACGCAAGACAGTTTTCTCCTATGTCCTCTCTCTCTCTCTCTCGTCTCTCATACACACACACACACATACTTGTAAAACAGGGGGTTAGGGGTTGGACCACAGGGAGGGGTGTGTCTCTATAAGACAACCGAGCAACAGCATCTGCTTAGGAAACAAACAGAAGCAGACGATAGGAGAATATAACCGCCTTCAGTTTCAGCAGATCTGCTCAGGACAGGTGCCTGAACCGCACACAGCTCAGGTAGGCTGACAGAGGGCGAGAAACACTTTAGATTCACATCAATTTACTCAGGCCACTTTGCATTAATCTGTTTGCTGATTATTTGTCATTTAGAGTGTGCAATACAATTTTATTTTTTTTTTCATTAAACTTAAAGGGGATAGTTCACTCATTTACTCACCCTCATGTCCTTCCAAACCTGTAAATAAAATACTTTCTTCTGTGTTATTTCTTCTTTTGAAAGAAAGTCATACAAGTTTTGAACAACATGGGGATGTAATTGAGAATATTTTCATTTTCTAGGTGAAGGTTTTTATTAGATCAGTAGTTTAATCGCAAGTGTTTGCAGAATACCTCAAGCTAAATAAACATTTTGTTCACATTTATCTGCAATACGAATAAATTCATAGTTGACCACATGCAAGACATTTTTTTCACATAATTAACTGACATAAAATATCAAATGATGAATAAAAATTATGGTTTATGGCTGTTATACATCTTCTGAAACCTATTTGTGTGAATGACAGGGACACATTTTTCACTTTGCTCTCATAATTGTGTCATCGATTGATACATAGTAAAATCAATGCATTTCTTTACAGGGCATAATCAGGGTGCTATACACCCCATTTAATTTTAGGGGGAAATTTACTGTACTCTGGGTGTTTAATTCAGCTGAGAGGAATATTGGCAGTATTGTGAAATATCTTTGAAAAGGAGTCGACTTTTGGTGCACAAAATGCCTGGCACCTGCTCCATTCATGGACCATTACCATGCAATTTTCTACTATCTTTGGCCAGTGCCTATAAATGTCTTATCTGCTAGAGTTAGTTTGAATTTAGTGCTCAGGTTTCAAAACTAAAGAGCGACAGATAATTGTTCGTTGATTTCACATGAGATCCTAATGAATTAGCCTTTAAATATTGTGGAGCAATTCTGCCTTGGGTAATTCAGAATGTGACTTTCTAATGTTGCATTACGCTAGATAATTTCATACTTGTTGTATACCACAGAGTATTTTAGCTGAGATTGGAAGAACTGTGGCTATGATCATAAATAAAAAAAGTGGGTAACACTTTATTTCGATAGTCCACTTTAGACATTCTATTAACAGTAAGTAACTTTGCAACTACATGTCAACTAGCAGTTAGTAGAGTATTAGTAGACTGTCTGCTTAATATCTTCTAACACTTTCTTTGTCAACATTCTACTAACCCTAAACCTACCCTAACAGTCTACTCTGAGAGTTAGTAGACATGTAGTTGCAAATTAATGAGAATTAGTTGACATGTAGTTACAAAGTTACTTATAGTTAATAGAATGTCTAAAGTGGACTATCGAAATAAAGTGTAACCAAAAAGTGGTATACTATTTATTAAAAGAAAGAAAGAAAGAAAGAACGAAAGAAACCTGGCTGACTTAAAGGGATAGTTCACCCAAAGACCGATTATCGGCGCCGATATTAAGCATTTTTATGATTATCGGTATCGGTCATTTTCAAAACCGATTCGCCGATAAAATAACAATTTTGAAACACGCTATTTGGCTCTGATGCAGCCTGTCATAACTCACCACTCTGTGGCCTAAAGCAGTCTCCGCCCACCGCCCATCTGATTTGTTGGGAGTCATGAGTCCGACCAATCAATGCGGAATTCACTCTCACTCCAAAAGCGCTTGCTAACTGGTTCTGCTTCAGAGATCACGCATCAGTTGTCTCTCAAAGGTAAGGCAGCAGCAGACATTGCTTAAGTTGGAATAGATCCCAATCCACTAAAGTTGCACTGAAGTTGCAAAACACCTCAATATTATCTATGATTTCCACGATGCGGAAAACGCGGACGGAATCGCGGAATCCAGTCATATAAATGGAATTTACTGTATGATTATTTAATACAACAGTTCAATAAACACGTACTGCCTAATTTTGCTCTATTTCATCAACAAAAATAGTTTCAAATAAAGTAACAGCTCAGCCGCTTCACATCTCTAAAAGCAAACACAGCGGTGTTTCATTCATGAATGAAAGTGCGTTTTTTCAACGAATCTAGTGAGTCAGTGATTCATGATTACCCATTCATAAAGACAGCCACTTGCTTCATTCCTGAATTAATTAGCCGTTCAAATGAATCATTGAATGAATGATTCAGTAGGCGCGTTTCCATTACCCTTCAAATTGCGCAAATTGAAATTGCGAATTGAAGATCCGCCTAATGGAAACGCGTCAATTTCGCAAAAACGGTCATATATCGCAAAAAAGTTTTTACGCTCGCATGAGGTGGTTTTTCATGCTATGCGAAAAAGGAATAATTTGCAAAACTGCAATGGAAACGGCTTTTTCGCATTTACAGGTCACATGGAGTATGTAAAAAGTCATATGATCATTCTTCAATGTACTATAACCTCCAAGAAACGCATCATACGTGGCTGCTCTCCAGTATAAGGGGCTTTCCCTACCATTAATGCTTAGACCATTTACACTGCACACGTCTGTGGTGCAGTGTGGCTCTGATATGGCCACTGAAGCTGATTGCGGCCACAATGCTTGTTTATTCCAGAATCTGGCCGTGCTGCTTCTGTAAAGATACAGCCAAAATCCGTTGCCATGACTTATCGCGAGAGGCAAAAGGTTACATTTTAGTCACATAACATTGGTTAATGGAAACGCCGTCATTTCGCAATACTTTTTTTTTTAATCGACATTTATAAAATATCGCCAAAGTTTTGCGCACATCTGTAATGGAAATGTGCCTATTGACTAATATTTCATCCGTGTAATATGCAAGCAGGTTTTGATGAAGTAGATGGCATGTAGGGATGTAATTATTACCAGTTTGATGATAAACACTGAAGCTGATTACGGCAATGCAATGCTTGTGTTTTTATACAGTCTATGGTTTATTCCAGCCGTGCCACGCACGTTTCTGAAGCGGCTCCCTTTGCTGCTTCTGTAAAGATACATGCATAAGCCTCCTTTCAATAAATATAGCCAAAATCCCACCAAAATCCGTTGCCATGACTTATCGTGAGAGGCAAAAGGTTATGTTTTAGCCATATAACATTGGTTAATGGAAAAGCCGTCATTTTGCAATACTTTTTTATCAACATTCAGAAAATATCGCCAAAGTTTTGCGCAAATCTGTAATGGAAGCGCACCTAGTGATAAAATTTGCCGCCACCTGCTGGCGGTTTCAGTTTCATTTTTAGGTATAATTGCAGTCGTTTAAATAATTTAATATTTCTGTATTCAAAATTGTATTTAAAACATTAATCTCCACATGAATTTATGAATTTAATTGCCCTCATGCCACCTCTGAGCCTCATTGAATGTCTGAAAATGTACCTACAAGCCACTTTTGTGTTCTTTTTGTGCCACCTCTGTAGTACAAATTAATTTTTCATTAATACTAATTTCATGATTGGTAACTTATTTGTCTTATTCTACTTCTTATTATATTGTTTTAAATAGAAATTTTAAAAAGCTTATAAACGTACATTTTTGAATTTTACAGATGAAAATGATGCCATTGCAAAGGTAAAAAGAAAATGCACCTGTAAATCACTTCACCTCATATTAGGAAGGCTAATTTTTGATTATTGATCAGAAGGTGCTCCTTAATTTTTTTTTAATTAGGAGGACAAGTGATCTTGATTACAAGAAAAACACTGCTCTTAAACTGGGTGTGTGAGACAGGTATGGCTGAGGAATGGGGTTTGGCCGAGGAAAACTTTTCAGTCAAAATATTTTTTTTTTGCTTTAACCTACTACAACAATTTAGACTACTACAACAATTATTACAACTTTTGTTTAAAAGAATAATCACACAATACGCTATTTCTTCCATGTTTTAATGGTAAACCCATTAAATAAAGAGTTTGCCAAAAAATAAAGAGTTTAACTCTTTAAAATAAAGAGTTAACTGTGGGAGAACTACGCTCAACCAACACCAGGGAAGGCAGTTTTTGTCGGAGCCCTTGTTATTCTTAATTTTGACATTAATTTTCATTTTTACACCAGACATATATATATCGGTCTACTTGATCTGTAATAATCGGTATCGGCCTTGAAAAACACATATCGGTCGACCCCTAATGTAGGTGACTTTGTTTCTTCAGTAGAACACAAACAAAGATTTTTAACTCAAACTGTTGCAGTCTGTAAGTCATATAATGGAAGTGAATGGGAATCACGGCTTTGAGAGTCAAAAAAACATACACAAACAAAACCAATCAGAGGTAAAAAACGATATAAATACTGTTCAGTTTATTGCACAGACTGATTGTTTCGTGTCTTTACACATCAATGTATCGTCACGAGCCGCAGGGTTTCATTTGGTTTTGTTTGTGTATTTTTTTTTACTCTCAAGCCATGATTCCCATTCACCTCCATTATATGACTGACAGACTGCAACGGTTTGGAGTTAAAAATCTTCGTTTGTGTTCTACTGAAGAAACAGTCACCTACATCTTGGATGCCCTGGGGGTAAGCAGATAAACATCAAATTTTCATTTTTGGGTGAACTATCCCTTTAAAACGAAAAAAAGGTAAGTGCTACTGATTCCTTCTATGTACATTCTTAATTTAGTATGTTGTAAAATAACATTACATTTAGGGGATTATGTAATAATCATGGCAATTGCCTCAGCTCCTCTTTTAAAAACGTATAAAGACAAATCCACATGATGATTAATTTTTCACAGATATGATACAAAAATCATTCAGGAGAGGTGCAGCTAGGATATTTGCAAAATCTAATAATAGTCAGATTATTCTCCAGAAGGCCCTGAGGCAAATGTATCAGCTAATCCAAAACTCCTAGCATAATTTTAGCCACTGTGAAATTGACTCGTGATTAGCGGTCCTTGCGGTGTTTTAAATATCCTGATGCACAAAAAGCATAATCATAAAAGCAAAAGATAGCATAATGACAATCAATGACTGCAAATATATAAATTTTTTAAAATTATAATCAGCTTCATCATGGGCGACATTTGACGAGTCAGGGGGCAAGAAAAAATA